TCATAGGCAAAAGACAGAAAGGTTTCTGCCTCCAAGCAGCTCATAGTCAAAAACAGATGTGGGGGGGGGCTGAAACAAGAGGGTTTAGGGAAGGGAGGGCCAAAAGAGTGAAATGGGGGAGGGGGGAATAATACACTACCTAAATGTTATGGCCCAGAAGAGGGATTAAGGAGTTGAGCTAAAGGCCTGACAGAAAAGATGGGCTTTAAGGAGGGGTTTAAAGAAAAAGAAGGAAGTGGCACCATGTAGTTGTTCCGTATTCCAGAAGGGAGTATTTTATGATGTGGTTTATTAGCAGAGATTTATTTAGTATTGAAATAAGCCCACTGACTTTCAGGTAAAGTACAGAAGAGGATCATATATATTTTCTTAAGTCTGGGAGGAATCTCATTCAGCAGGAGCTCATATATAATGAAACAGAATAAATCACAAGAGATTAAGTTGTCTTTAGTTTATAATAGGTGTGCCCTTTCCCCAAAGGAATGGAAGATGTTTTAGAATCCAGTCAGGTCAAGATTTTAAAACCGCTTTCTGCACAGCTAGTGGCATATCATATTTGTTACTAATGATTTTTACCAAATTACTGAAACAGGCATAAAATTATGCTATTTTTATATAGAAAATATGATTCTAGGAGCCACATTATTAAACATAGGTTTAACAAAGAAGGCTGCTCTGGCTTGCTGGTCACCTGCTCATCACTTGCAAGCAACACAGTCAAGCAAAGAAAACCTTTTCCCCCTCTTGCCTATCTTTACAGAAGGGCAATTTTTTCCAAATTGTACAAAAGTGGGTGAAGACCAGAGTGGCCTGTGCAAACAGCTGAGCATTTCCTCATAGCCCTAAAGTGCTGGTAAAACCTGGTAGTCTAAGGGAGAGACAGAGAAGCTTCATCTAGAAATGGCCAGTGGCATGTACTACCTGTAGCAGAACACAAAATGGCACACCACCCCTGTGCCAAGACAACTCAATTATTTTGGCATCACTTTCCCTCACTGGCAGCAAAAATTACAACAATAAAGAAATATCAAACCTTTTGATTGGAGTCCTGTGAAGAAGTCTTACTCCTCTATACCATCTTTGGCAGGCATTCACATATCAAAGCTGAACTATTGTAGGAACTGGCTAGTTCTACTTTTCTATGCTTACTTTATTATTTAAAACCCAGAAAAATTCTGAAATGCATAGGAAACCTACATGAACAGAGAAAGCTCCATTCTGCTGAAATTGCCTCCCTGTACATGGGCAGCAAGGGGACCAGGAGACACGGCTATGTGAGAGTGAGGGGCCATAAGCATCATTCCCGTGTTCCTCCTCCACACAATTATAATCACATTGAAGGTAAATTTCTGAAGAACACTAGAGTGTGAGAGCACGCTGTGTGTGGCACAGCAGCAGTTTGCTACTTGAATGCTAACCTATATTATGAGAACTTTACCTGTGTGTTAAACATGATTCTGGGTTAGTTTTTAAAGTTCACTTACAGAAGTTATCTTTTGTGGAAAATATGAGAACTTTACCAGTGTGTTAAACCTGATTCTGGGTTAGTTTTGTTAAAGTTCACTTACAGAAGTTATCTTTTGCCTGAAGGAGAACAGGTTGGATCAGTTAGTGAAACAGATACTAAGAAGATAAAGCATCAAAAGAAACTGAAAACTGAAAGGAATTATAGGTTTTCAGATGGTAATATAATAAGGGGCCAATAGATCCTTCCTGTAGATAGTGGGGACAAGGGTTGGGAGCCACTTATCAGAAGGTTTGGTGTAAGAAACCATGTTTTATGAAGCCCAGTGAATTAAATTCAAATGCACAAAGTGGCATGGGCTCAACTAAACACATTAAGGACAGCCATTGTCCAGGCTTTCAAAGTAAACATCAGGATTCAGAGCAAACTGCTTAGAATGAACTACAGAAGTCACACATTCTAATTCAGTTGTAAATATGTAATGTGAGAGATCTAAAGAGGAAATGGGCAATGTTGTTGGTATTACTAATGATTCCTTCTTAATATACTAAAATGCTCAACTGGTATCAGAAAAGTAATGAGTTATGTAGAGGTATTAGAACAATTAGTGGAATGCCAACATATCATGCTTCTGTGGTGCAAGTGATCACCCTGTACAGACAGTGCAGCAATTTATTACAGAACTTCTTTGTGGGCTTCCATGTAAGAAATCAGCAGGAAAAACTACTGAAACTCCATCATGTATAAAATATATGTAACGTACTGTATTTCAATTTACAGATTTGCAAGGAGTCCACATTTTGAGTTAAGCTGAGCATGCAAGGTCTGCTATCACACCTGTGAACATTATTTCCGGATGGGTACAGGAATGTGAGCATGGAACTTTGGAAAACATGGATTAAGAATGGCAATTGGTGTGATGTGAGTGCCCAAGCCCTTGTCAGTGAGGCTGTCTTGCCTCCCCACGGGACCATTGGAGTACAGCACCTTTCATTCTCCAATTGACTAGGGGGAAACCAGGGGAAGAAGAGAGTGGGAAACTAGAAAACCTGGGAGATTCAAAAAAGCCTAATAACAGGGGAATGACCTCCAGAGAAGGTGAGAGAAACAGAGAAGAATAAAAAGACAGGAGAAGAGGAAGAGGTAGTAGCAGCTGACAAGCAGAGAGTTGGGATGAAAAGTTATAGAGGAGGAGGAAGAGGGGTAGAAAGACTCAGTGAACAGCAAGCCTCAGAAGCCTGTTTACTGAAGATAGAGAAGGAGGAGGCTGAAGGAACAGCATGAGAGTGGGAGTATGTACAAAAGGAGAATCCTTGTACTGTACTGGAGAACCGGTCTGCTTAAGGGTTGCCTAAGCAGAGCACTTGCATAACACTGTTACATCCTGGAAACCCTCTTTCTGGGGGAAGAGAGAATTGGAGAGACACAGATTATGGAGGGAAAAAGAAATGTTAAGGGCAGTGGAGCGGGGCCAGCCATTATGGCTCAACCCCCAGAACAAAGCCTGCCAGACCTTTCATCACTTCAAGAGGGAAAGGATCCAGGGAGACTCCTCACAACTGTCATCCCTGTTACTACATAAGCCCTCATTGTGTAACAGTCCTTGTTGGGGTCACCACAGACCAATTCACCTGTCTGGGCCTGACTGAAGAGGTGATCACTGAACTAGTGAGAAAAGGGTAAAAGCTATTAACTTAACACTAGTTTTGAAGGTGGACAAGAAGTTTTAGATAATGATTCTACATTGCTAAATGTTAAGCTCATAATAGACACATACTGTATTCTGTTTCAATAAACCTTTTTGGTTTTAGTAAATGTTCTCCTGGTTTTATGGAACAAAGTATGGAAGAAGTAACACTATTTGGTTCCACAATAGCTGTGGGGGGGGGGAATGTCACAGGTTAACTGTGGACAAACCAGAGAGAAAGAATTGAGGGAAACTGTGTAAGATTTTTATTCCTCTTATGGATGTCTTTGTTTTACAATTGCTATCTTGATAGCTCTGTGAACTGGGATACCTGACTACTGAGCCAGGCACTGGGAGTTCAGTTCTCCACTATGCCTCCCAGGGAGAAGACCTAGCCTCAGTAGTCTTGGAAAAGCTACATGATCACATACCAGCATCAGAAGAAAGGATCATCAGTAAATCACTTCTGAGTATTTTATACTTATGAAACCCTGGGAAGAGTCACTGTAAACTGGAATCAATTTGATGGGACATGATTGACTGATGTGGGCTTTCAACCTTAAGTATAAATAATAAAAATAAATATAAATAAGTACAAACATAAACAAGACCACAATTCAGAGAGCAACTGTCATTAAAATTAACAGGGCTTATTTCTGAGTAGGCATTATAGCATCACACTGTATGTAAAATCATGCATTTATACCTTGGGAAGTAATACAATACTGGTAGTAATATCTCTGTTTCACAGATAAACTCGGAAATTGAGACTGTTTCCGACCAGGTGCTCCAGAAATTCATTATTTCTTCAGGACAGAGCTGATCTTAATCATTTTGTTACATCCGCTTCTTCATGTAGGATGAAATCACATAATTGGCTGAAATCCTGTTGCTTACTTGAACCCTCACACTTACATTAGCAAATTCTACTAAAGCAGACCCCCGACTCAGTGAGGACCTGGTGAGCTGACTTCTTTGTAAGTTTCATTGATTCAAATAGGTCTAACCTAGTTGTGGGAGACCACAGCTGCGACACGTATAAGGATGAGATCTGAAGGCCTTAGGAATGGAACTCAACAGATGAGAAACCTTGACGTCTGAGCCTTCAGCTTGGAGGCAGATGGTGCAGCATGGCCTCTCCCAATTTGAAGAGACCCTTGCCCAGCAGGCCGAGGCGAAGAGGCAGTCCTGAAAGCAGCAAAATCAGGGAGCTGGACAGGGGACAGACTGTATTTGTGTTCAGTGTGGAAGGGACTGTCACTCTCGAATTGTCCTCCTCAGCCACACTAGACGCTGTTCCAAGACATCTATTCAGAGCACACTATCATAATCTCATTTTAAACAAATAATATAAATAGTTCTTTAAGCCAAATGGATATACATGATTTTTCAGGAGCTAGCTTAGTCTAGCTTTCGAGTGTCAAACTAGAACTCCAGAGACGTGGGTTCAAGCCCTCATTCAGCCATGGGGGGGAACGGCAGTGGTAAAGCTACTCCTTAAATATCTCACATACCTCAGAAACCTCTCTAAAGTCACCACAAGTTGAGATCCACGTGATTGTACATAGCACACATTCCTACTCACCTATAAGGCTGGGTGGGCAGACTTCCAAATAGTAAGATCTACTTAAACATACAGAATTTCAAGTCCTACCTTGACTGGTTATGGTAAACACCGTAAATATCTCGTGTACCTTGAAAACCTTATTGGGATTGCCACAAATCCCGAGGGCTAATTGAGGGCACGTAGCATAACATAGTTTCAAAGGTGTTTTATTTTTGAAAAATAACAACGACTAGCGACGGCTGCTGCTTCCAAGCGCCCCAAAGCTACCGTCCTCCCAGCACCATCACAGGCGAGCGTCAGTGCCCCAAGAAAGCACCCTTCCCACCTACGAGCACGCACGTGTGCACCCAACCGCCCTCCCACCCGGGCGGGCTCCTGCCTGGCCTCGCACAGCGACCACGTCCCGGGAAACGGGTCCCAAACACCAGGAACTGAAAGCAACCGCCCCGCCTTCCCCCGAGCTGCCCACGTCAAAGGCAACGCGTCAGCGAAGGGTCGTAAAGCCTCGAAGAAGCGCGCAGCTCTTCCCTCTCGGTGGGGATCCCGGCTCTGCCTTCCTTTTTTCCTCGTTTGATCCGACGCAAGCGAGGGCGAAGGCTGAAGTTTCGGCTTCTGGCGTCCGTTGGCTCCCTGAGCTCTGACCGACTGCAAACCGGTCGCTGGTGGTTGGGGGACCAGGAAACAGAGGGAGAGGCCCATGACCTGCTTTCGTCTTCCTTAGCGACTTCAGCTCTTCTCAGGGGTGGGCCACTGGGGAGAAATGGGGTGCTGATGGGCAAGGTTTTCGGGTCTGATCCAGCTGGCCTTTCTCGTCACACTCTTCTCACGACGCTGCTCTTCAGCCGCAGGCTGGCTGGTGCGTGCCAGTGGAAGGATTCCTCAAGAGGACCTGGAATTCCTTTCTGCATCTTCTTCGTAGGACTTCTAACCGTTCGCAAGCAAAAACCGAGAGGGTTGTTACTGTTTGCAACCTGCTGGTCGCGCGCTTTGCTCCGGGCCCGTCGGGTTTCAAGCTCTGGCCGTGTGCGCTTCTATTAGCAGACGCGTGGTAATGATGGCGGCTTTCAGCGAGACTTTTCCTGTCACTGGATCCCATTCCTCCTCCCCGCGGTGGCCGGGGCAGCTTTTCACGAGCCCGGCTGGGGCTGCTGGCACGTTGCAAAGCCCGGTTGCAGGAGGGGCCCAAGGGAAGTCTTGACCAAGCCCCCCTCCGTCCCTCCCTCCCTTCCTCCCCTCCCCACCCACCTCCCCTCTGGTTCTGACTGCTGGCAGCCGCAGGAGTCTCCCGGGCACCCTACCTAACCACCCACCTACCCACCCACCCACCATGGGCATGTTGGACAGGCTGAGGAAGGACTGGTTTATTCTGGGAATAGTCCTGGTCATCACCGTGGCCAAACTGGAGCCGGCCTTTGGGGTGAAAGGGGGTAAGTTCTGCTTAAGAGCCTCGCCTGGTGATCCAGGGGTTCTGGAAAACATAAAAAGCCCCCTCTTCCCTCCCAGGCTTGTTTGCAAACAAAAGAGGAAGCGAGGAGGGGTGCTTGGACTGCAGTTTGGGCGTTGCAAGGAAGAACACCTGGTTTAGCTGCAACTCTCGGGCGTGCAACAAGCGAGGAGGGCTGAACACGCGGGTCTCACTTGCAAAGACCCCCACCCTGGGGTGCTTTGTCGCCCTCAATAGCGCCGTGGGGTGTGTGTGTGTGGGCTGAGAAGTCCTCTTTCCCAAGGCATCGCCCCCCCCTTTGCTTCGCATTCCTCTGCACAGCCCACCCCGAGGGGCTTGCCGCCCTCAATAGCGCCGTGGGGTGGGCTGAGAAGTCCTCTTTCCCAAGGCATCGCCCCCCCTTTTGCTTCGCATTCCTCTGCACAGGCGGACATCATCCTGACGTTCCGCAGAGGAGCCGGAGTTTCCCCACGTTCAGAACTCCTGCAGCAGTTTACTCTGACACGTTGCACACGCCGGGCGAGGGAGGGGGGCGCGACCCAACTTCCGTGTCCTGTGGCTGAGCTGCGACAGGCGGTTTTGAGAGGGTGGAAGGGCAAGTTGTGCCCGGGGGGGGCGCCGAAACCGGCAGAGAACAGCTTTCTCTTCCCGAAACTTATAAAAAGATATATGCCCAAGTATCGTAAGAAAGCACAAGCGTTTCTCTATTAAACTATAAATGCAGAAACTTCAGATACTACTGCATGCGCTGCAAACTCTCATTCTGATATCTGTCTGGTAAATGAATAGAGAGGGGAAAAAGGGCATTTCTAAACGGCAAGAAGGCTGTGTTGCAGGTTAATAAGCCTTTTATTTAACCATCTTTTAGAAATGTGTATTGTATTGCCTCATTAATTCTCCCAGTCATAATTGCTGCAATATACGGCTGTATTTGAAGACGGTTGTTCCACGAACTCAGCTGAATTTAAGCAAATGTTTTGTTAACTGGGAGTGTATGAATGTGGGTTCCTTATATCGAGATAATGTATTTCTTTCACCTGGGAAAATTACTTGTGTTTAATCTGAGATAATTACCTCTTTGCTCCTAGAGAGAACTGTTTGGAAGGCATGAATTATGTATGTACATTCCCCCAGTGTGTGAGCAACCTTATAGAGCAGTTGAGTTTTGATTTCCTGAAGCCATAAGAAAGAGCATACTTTGTTATCCTTGGCAACTTTTAGACAAAATGGACTTTCTCAACCAAACTATTCCAGATAAAGCACATGCATTATATGCTTAATAAGGTGGCTTCACTGTCTCTTCATTGTGTACATAGGAAGAGGTTGCAGAGCGCGCACACACACTTTTATGGCTTTGAATGCTGTGATCTGTCTTAAATAACAATAAAGGTATTCTTAATCAGGTGAAAAGATTATAATAATACTGAATTTAAAATACAATGAAAAGATTTTCTTTATCCTCATATTAACTGATGCTTGTGCAGAAACTTAACAATTAGTGTATGCCACCCTATCTTCTACTTAGAATAGGTCCCTGCATTTCGTTGTAGGCAAGTGTGCACAAAATTGCTGTTATGTTTTGAGAATGGTACAAAACAAGCAGGCTTTGAAATTGACAAGAGGTTCTTTTTGCTAGGTTGCATAAAATATAAATTGCTTGGCCTACCTGTTGAACTAAGACTTTATTTGGAACATATATCTTGTAGCTTTATGGTCAGTTTCTGAGATATCCCAGAAAATCTCATGTCACGTTCTAATCAATGCCTTTGTAGGATGTGTTGTCAATGTTGTATAGGGTTGAGCCAAAACATTGTTTGTTTTGATGATCTTACTGATTTTGGCAATGAATCATAGCACCTAAATATTTTTTATTTTTGAAAAGGAATTTATCTGGAACATGGACTGCTAATTTTAAACTGAACACTGAACTCTTTGTCCACTTCCTATGCTGTTTTCTCTGCAAATATATCTCTAAGCATGTTGGGGGGGGGGAAACCACCACCTCATCCAGTTTGCACTACTCCCTTGTAAAAGTACTTTGGTCTACATGCTTCCTAAGTTTAGAATAGGTAGCTGTTAATCTGTTTTAGTGACACTGGATGAAATTATGGTGAAATTGTTGTTTTGGGGAAGTGACCACAAAAAAACTATGAAGTGCTGCAAATATAAATATGTTTATTGTCATAATAATGAATGTCTATTTGTTTTAACCTCATGCTGGATGTCTAATCCAGGCTCCTTTTCTTAGATTCCTCCTATATCACATGCAAACTTGATGTCTTTCTAGTGGCCACATAAAAATCTTAGGCAGTTACTCTTCAGAGACTTGGGAACAATAATTGTTTGCAAAAGTGCTTAATTATCCTTTCCCTGTTGTGCAACATAGATAGTTAATTAGATCTCCTCCCAACATTTGTCTGCAAGCTTAGAGCACCTTTTCCCATCTATCACTGGGTCAATTGTGTCTATGGCTGGTTGGGGAAAGGCTGGAAAGGTCTTATGGAGTTTATCTGTTCGAATGTTTAATCTTCAATTCTGTGCATTTGATATTTTAATTACATTTGTGTCCTGCCTTTTCCTGGTGTACTTGACTCCCCTTGTTTCAACATTGTCCTTACATGACACTGTGGGGTAGGATCAGCTGAAAGACTAATTGACCTGCTGCATCTAGTGAGTTTCATGTTGGAATGGGGGTATGGAGCTTGGTCTACAGAATGAAAATAAGAGTTCTCTTATGCAGTGTTCCTTTTAAAATACTGTAATCAAGGGAGCTTGAGACAAATTTAACTTTAAGCAAAGTATATCGGTGATGAGCTGCCATTACTTATTGAGATCAGACCGGTTCGTGGAAGTTTAGAAAATGCTGATCTCAGAATCTTCAGCTGTACACCTATGGAATGGTCATAGCCTCATTTTCCTTTATCTTCCTACCCTAATTTTATGGAAGCAAAGTATTGATGCATTGTTCAGAATTAGAGATGCGGGTATTTGCATACAAATGCGAATATCCCCGCACAGGTGGACATAACACTCATGTCAACGTTGGCTCCGCTCCCCTTTCTGATCACTCTGGAGCTTCCTGTCGGCTATCCACTTGTCAGCCTTGTAGGGAGACTTGTCTTCCCCCCTTCTGCTGGAGTGGCTAGTCAACTGGGAGCTCCAGATCAGTTGGAAGGGAGGGCGGAGCTGCCGCCACCGGATGCATGAGTCTGGGCCCAGGGGGATGGACCCTCATTCAGAATTTAAAAATCAACTAAAAACTGATGTTTCGGCAGGCCTTCCCCTTAGCCAATTCCTCATTTTCCCTTCTTTCCTTCTCCTAGTGTCTCTCCCATCTTGCCTAAAGTTTTCCCCTTATTTTAAAATTGTTTCTAATTATATTGTAATATTCTGAATTGCTGTCCCTTGTTTGCCTGTATGTAAATATATCAACATGCAAGAATAATTTGGTTAATATTGAAGAATATTGAAAAATGTTAGTATTTTTTTAAAAAAATCTACCAAAAATTAAAATGATACAGGCTAAGATCATGTCAGTTTAGGATTAAATTGGTTGCCCAGTTGTATTTTATTTGAACCTATTTGGTTGGATCCAGATTTAGTCATACTTGAAATCAGTGTTCGCTCTAATGTTATCCCCACTGCACAGGAGCCTCGCCTGTCTGCATGTAGGGGGCAGGATTTCATCTGAGACCAAGAAGTAAGCAGACATCAACATCAGCTGCTGCTGCATAGTGCCAATGGAGCTCTGTGTGCATGCGGCTTAGAAGGAATGTTGCTTGAAATTGATGCATTGAAGTCAGTGTGACTTAGACTAGGCAGCTAGTCTCATCAGCTTCCCTATGTGTATGACTAGGTCTGTTGGATCCACCTCAGTGGTCCAGATCTGGTGGTGTTATGCTGATGGAAGGGAAATGGCAGAACTGTTGTTATTAATCAGTCCCCACTTTGATTTCTTGTTGCACACTAGTCATGGGGTGTGGCATGTGACAGGGAATCCAAACAGGGACTCCTTGAGTCAAGTTACGCCATTCCCTTTATACTCCTGTAACTATGCAACAGGATTGTGGTCAGTGTTTTCCATTCTCACAACTTTTGATCTCAGTTCTGCCATATTAGAATGACAGAAAATTGAAAATCCAGGAGCACAAGGTTCCAGGGAACAACATGATCTTGCAAAATAATATTCAGTTATTTAAATTTCCAATGGTCTATCTATGTTAGTAAGTTCCAGCAAAAAATAAGTCCCAAGATGGATGTGAGGGCGCTCTGGCTGCAACATGTGTCACCCCATTGATCGCCAGAGTTGATTTGGCTGATCTGGCTGGCTAGGCGGGTGTCCCCTTCCTCCCTCACCACTCCATGTGCGTCCCTCCGAAGCTGCGCGCTCGGTGGAAGAGGACGACCATCCCAGATAGAAGGCTAGGCGGGTTCCCTTCCTCCCTCACCGCTCCATGTGCATCCCTCCCGAAGCTGTGTGCTCGGTAGAAGAGGACGACCATCCCAGATAGAAGGAGTGTACCATTCTTTGGTCAAGGGTATACGAAAGAAGTCCCAAGATGATAAGCCAGATAAAAGTTATTAGTTTTTAAGATACCAAAAAAATCTTCTTGTAGATAATTTAGGTACTCTTAAAGAAGTCCCAAGATGCAGCCCACAAAAAGTTATGCCAGATAAAAGTTATTGGTTTTTAAGATACCAAAAAACATCTTCTTGTAGATAATTTAGGTACTCTTAATATCTGTTAATGCCTAGGCCAGAATCTGCTCTTTTTATTTCTTTTGAGAAAGGTACATAAAAAAATGAAAATACATCAATTTTTTTCTTACTCAGTTTCTTTAAAACCTTCGTGTACTGCAGCACAAAATAGTTTTGTCCACTGGATGTATATTTTGTTGTAAAGTTAGCACAGAAGTAAACCTGTAATATAATTGTTCTAAGATATTTACTACCCACATAATAGTAAACAGAGTCCCCAGATTCCAGCCCTTTGGCATTAACAGTTTTCCTCAGTTAATAAAACACTGCTTGAGAGAAGAATTGTCCCAATATATCTGTAGTTTTAGAAGAGGCTGTTGTATTAGTCTGTACCATCTAGCCATTCCTGACTTATGGCAACCCTATGAATAAGCAATCTCCAAAATATCCTGTCCTCAACAGCCCTGCTCAGTTCTTGTAAACTCAAGTCTGTACTTTCCTTAGAGAGTCAATCCTTCTCATGTTTCGTCTTCCATCTTTTTTGCTGCCTTCAACCTTTCTCAGCATTATTATCTTTTCCAGAGTACCCTGTCTTCTCATGATGTGCCCAAAGGAGGACAGCCTCAGATTCAACATTTTTGCCTCCAGAGATAGTTCAGGCTTAATTTGATCTAAGACCCACTTGTTCATCTTTCTGGCAGTCTAGAGTAAAGCTCACCTCCAGCACCACATTTCAAACAAATCACTTTGTTTTCCTGTCAGTTTTCTTTCACACCCATACATGGTGATTACTTAAAAATACAAGAGTGTGGATGGTCTTGGTCTCCAGTGACACATCCTTACACTTGACGATCTTTTCTGTTTCTTTCCTTGCTGCTCTTCCAAGTCTCAATCGTCTTCTGATTTCTTGGCAGCAGTCTCCATTTGGATAGATGATTGGACCAAGACATACAAAATCTCTTAACTATTTCAGTTTCTTCACTGTCAGTGTTAAAGTTGTGTAGTTCTTCTGTAGTAATGATTTTTATCTTCTCTATATTCAGCTGCAGTCCTGGTCTTGGCACTTTCTTCTTTCAGAAAAGCCATTTCAAATCATTGCTGCCATTAAGATGGTATCATCTGCATATCATAAATTATTGATGCTTATTCCACCAATTTTCACCCCTCCTTCATGTGAATCTAGTCTGGCTTTCCATATGATATGTTCTACACACAAATTGAACAGATAAGGGGATAAAATACATCCTTGACTGACACCTTTGTCTTTTTGCATTGTTCCATAATATCTCTGGTTTCATTGAACAGTTTTTTAGATCAGTAATGCAAATCTGTTTATTATGTGGATTTAAAATTCATCAGAAATGTTGTTTGAATTATTTCATTGTACAGTTTTTCAGTAATGCAAATCTGTTTCTTATGTGGATTTAAAATTCATCAGAGATGTTGTTTGAATTATATTTGGCATTACAATTTTTTAGTGTTCTTTTTCAGCTTTTATTTGACATTACAATTTTTAGTGTTCTTTTTCAGCTTTACTCTAATGTTGGATATTAACAGTTCATGATCAGTATCATCATTCCTGAATACAGCTTCAAATTGGCATTTTAACCAGATAGATAGATACCGATACATTTTTTCCAGCAACTGAAGGTTTTCTAAAAATATGCTAGCTATTTAAGTGGAAGACCTTTTTAGAGGTTCAAATATTTTAAAACTGATTAATAAACTGTTTGATTAAATATTGTATTGTCGATGCTTTCAGACTTAGCATGTTATGAGTTACTGGATATATAAATCAACACCAGTTATGTACAATCCACACTTTTAATGTCATGATGCCCATGTTTTGACTTGTGCTTTTAGTCATTAGCCATTATGTACTGCACAGTTATATTGGTTCCAGTACTACATTTATAACTCTAAAGTCTCATTCCTCATGGGGTACTTCCTGGTTCAGTATTTTCATTGCTGCTGGAAATGACAGTTGAAGGCACCCGTATACCAGTTAAGGAAATAGCTTCATCAACATACTTTAGGGAAGTTGTAAGAGACACATCCTCTGAATTTATTTGATCATGCCCAAGAGTTCAGAGAGAAATGATTGTTGTGTAGCATACTATTTCTAGCAGTTGAGCAGTAGATGTGCACCTGTTGCTCATTTGTTGTTTTATAATTAAATATCTTCTCTCAAGAAGATATGGTTCTCATTTTTCTAACACTTGGGAAGTTTACACTTGCTAAGAAAAAGCTTTCCCCCCGGTTAATAAGGTCATTGCACCTAGTCTTGTTGTATCAGTGTGATGGGTGTATGTTGGGCAATTCCCATATTATCTTTGGCAGTGATGTAGTGGACATGCCTAATGCAACTGTTTGCTGACTCCCATGTTCTGTGAAGCAGATATTGAGATATTACAGAGAGTCTTCATGTTGCTCACTTTCCCTTTAATATCTAAATTGTTCATCTCTCTTACATGAACTATTGACAATGACCACCTTTTTAGCAGGATTCTCCACCCATATTTATTATGTGTGAATTAGGCAAGTACATTGTTGAATAAGGCTAAAATCAATAGGAGCTAGCTTTGAATTGGTTGCCTAGGTATAAGACCCATTTTCAGGAATACTTTTCAAAGGCTAAAATCAATAGGAGCTATCTTTGAATTGGTTGCCTAGGTATAAGACCCTGTTCTTCTTACTCCAAATATAGATTAGAATATAATTGCATCTGAATTATGGTAATTAACAAGAGATAATGATGGATCCATACCATTCATTGGTATGTCTAGCATTGCAGTTTTAATTTTTAGGCTTGGGCTTTGATCTATGGCCAATAGGTCTGATATTATTATTAGTTTCGATAGTAGTGTATATGTATCATTTGTGTTTGTGTTTTGTGTAAAGGAATCTAAGGTGGTTGATAAAGTTTAAAAGACAGATGTAACTAGAAACTACATTGCGCTGTTACAAAAGGAATTAAACATGTTACACTAAAATAATCACTGGATTAAAAATCATTTAAATAATTTAAAAGTACATTGGAAAAAGATTTAAAAGTATAGTATATGTCATTAAAAGCCTTTTATTAGCTGGACCACTAGGCTGAAAACAACAGAATGAAATTCAACAGAGATAAGTGCAAAGTACTGCACCTCGGAAAAAGAAACCAAATGCACAATTACAAGATGGGAGATACCTTACTCAGCAATACTAAAAATGAGAAGCATCTTGAATTGTCATAGATTACAAGCTGAATATGACGAGAAGCATCTTGAATTGTCATAAATTACAAGCTGAATATGAGCCAACAGTCTGATGTGGCTACAAAAAAGGCAAATGCTATTTTAGGCTGCATTAACAGAAGTATAGTTTCCAAATCCTGTGAGGTGATGGTTCCCCTCTATTAAACGCTAGTTAGGCCTCACCTTGAGTATTGGGTCGGTTCCCCTCTATTAAACTCTAGTCCAGTTCTGGACAACGCACTTCAAGAAGGATGCTGACAAATTGGAACAAGTTCAGAAGAGCGCAACAAGGATGATCAGGGGGCTGGAAACCAAAACTGAAAGAACTGGGCATGTTTAGCTTTGAGAAAAGGCAACAGAGGGGTGATATGATAACACTGTTCAAATACTTAAAAGGCTGTTATACAGAGGAGGGGCAGTATCTGTTCTCAATCATCCCAGAGTGCAGGACAAACAACAATGGGCTCAAGTGACAGGAAGCCAGATTTCAATTGAATATCAGGAAAAATGTCCTAACTGTTATAGCAGTAAGAGAGTGGAACCAATTACCTTGAGAGGTGGTGAGTGCTCCAACACTGGAGGTACTCAAAAGAAACTTAGCCAACTACCTGGCAGATATCCTTTGATTTGGATTCCTGCATTGAGCAGTGGATTGGACTTGATGGCCTCATAGGCCCCTTCCAACTTCACTATTCTGTGATTCTTTGGCAGCCAACCACTTGCCAAGACCCTGAGGGAACAAAAAGTTCTTTGCCTTTGACTTGTTACCTACAGTGGTGCCTTGAGTTGCAAACTTAATTTGTTCCCGGATGATGGTTGTAACTCAAGTTGGTTGTAACTCAAAACACCATTTCCCATAGGAATACATTGAAACGTGATTAATCCCGGCTGTTTTTAAAGGTTAAAAAAAGGGCAGGAAAGGAGGGAGGGAGGGAATAATGAGGAAAAGAGGAAAGAAAGAAGGTCATCATTGGGGTACATAGACCCCTCAGACAAGGGTTTGTCCTTTTAGGCACAAAAAGAGAGAGGATATAGAGAGAGAAGACAATGGGGGGGAGTTGGAGTCTAAAACAACAACAACAACAAAAAACCATTCCAGCAGGAACTAAAAATAGGGACTAATGCAAAAGTGGTTAATCCGTCCACTAGGGGGACACTTTTTTAAAAAACCTAAAATGACCTCTAAGGTTAATAAAACGGACAGGAAAGGAGGGAGGGAACAATGGGGAAAAAAGGCCTTTTTCTGGTTGTATCTCAAAGCTCTGGTTGCAAGTCAAAGCAAAATGTTGCGAATGGAGCTGGTTGTAACTTGAATTGGTTTCAAATCAAGACGGTTGTAAGTCAAGGCACCACTGTTTGTGCATTTCTCATTCTCATGTCTGTGAATATCCTTCCTGCAACTTTCATAATGATCCTAAGTGCATTGGCCCCATTGTAGTACAGCCAGATTGCTAATGGGGTTTAGCTTTTCTGCTATTGGCCATAGGAAGTGAGCAAGCTAATAGACTTGCAAATTGTTGACTCTTGTAACCATTAGTAGGAATAATATGTGTACGTGCATGTGTATATGCACAGCAGGAATGTGAAAGATTGGAAGTCTGAAGTCAGAGCTGAGGAACCTCCGGCCCTTCTGGCCCTTCAGGTCTAACTTCATCATCCCTGAGTGGTGACCAGCATTCAGATGGCCACAGGTTTCCCACATCAGGTTACATAGAAATGTACATGACTGCTGTTGGGGAGGTGCCTTACTTTTCTTTGTGTGTATGTGTTTGTATTTCAGGACCATTGAAACCAGAAATCACCATCACATATATAGCTGTTTCAACAATATTTTTTAACAGTGGGCTCTCACTGAAAACTGAGGTACTGAACTTGAATTTTCTCTACCACCTTATATTGTTTTGTTTTTGTGTGTATTCTGTGCTGTCAAATTGGAATCGATTTACTGTATAATGACCCTAATAGGACTTTCAAGGTAAGTGAGATATTTGTGGAGTGGTTTCATCAGTTACACTCCCCCAGTGAGTTTCCTGTTCTCCAGAGCCATAGTCCATCACACTATCCACTACACCAGTGGTCCCCAACCTTGGGCCTCCAGATGTTCTTGGACTACAACTCCCAGAAGCCTTTACAACCGCCTCTGCTGGCCAGGATTTCTGGGAGTTGAAGTTCCAAGAACATTTGGAAGCCCAAGGTTGGGGACGACTGCACTACACCACACTAGGAATGTTACCAGTATGAAGATGGGAGCATAAGATTTCTGACCCTTGAGATATCATGATTCTGTACAATGGCAAATGGGAGTTTGCAATTCCAGGAGGCACATGCATGTCTCTGTCTCAAATAGCATGGTGGTTGGGGAGGTTTATACGTTGATAATGTACACATTGAACCATATGTTTTGGTGTCAAATTAATATGGAAAGAATCTTCCAGGATTATTTTAAGGGCCTTTGTGAAATTGTGCACTGGGACTGTACAAATTATTGAGAACACATTTATCCAGACACACTCGTTAATTCATGTGGAACCTATATCCAAGAAAATCATATCAGAACTGGATCGAAAAGCATCCTTCTGCAGATAGAATGGATGCTGCTAATAGAATGGGGCCGGGCTTCTGATGACAGAAGCAGAGATTGCCTTTAGGATACTGTCCTCCCAGTACAGCCCACCATACATCCCAAAATCTGTTTTGGAGGGGTAGAAAACCCTCTAGAATAGAGATGGGGGTATTTGTATATGAATATCCCCACACAGGTGGTGTTAACGAGGGTGCAGCCCCATGGGGCCGGACGGTCGTCTCACCGATCTGACGTGAACGGCGCGATTCTATGAATGGCACCGCAGCGTGCGATCTGCTCGCCACTCCTGGCAGGAGGCGGGAGGACAAGCCTGGCTGCAAGGTTGAAGAGTGGCGAGCGGATCACGTGCTGCAGTGCCATTGGCATAATTGCACCGTCCATGTCTGGGTCGGATTGGTGAGTGGACCATCTGACCCCATGGGGCTGGACCCTCGTTAAAGCAAAGCAAAGCGTGCTGCTTATATACCGCCCCATAGTGCTTCAAGCACTCTCTGGGCGGTTTATAAGTTAATTATGCAGGCTACACATTGCCCCCCCCCCCAGTGAGCTGGGTACTCATTTTACCGACCTTGGAGGGATAGAAGGCTGAGTCAACCTTGAGCCGGCTACCTGGGATTGAACCCCGGGTCGTGAGCACAGTTTTGGCTGCAGTACAGCGGTTTAACCACTGCGGCACGAGGTGGGGATATTCGTATACGAATACCCCCATCTCTACTCTAGAACAAATTTTGGGAGCACAGAGGATTACAGGGTTAGGGAAAAGGAAGAAAGTTCTTTCATACCAATGGATGCCCACAAATGTGATTGTGGATATAGGCCTTTGTATTTTACTGTGAGATTAGATAATATTTACCTAAGGCATGGGCTAGTTTATATTTGCAGAAATCAAAACAGATAAAAACAACATGCTGTCTGATGTAAAGGAGAGCGGACCTTTTGAAGCAGTGTGCATGTGACATATAAAATGATGATACCAACCAAAACACTGCAAAATAGAACTGACTTCGGCTGTTAACGCTGCAACCTCTTCTTCTCTTTTTATTTTGTAGGAGCTGACAAGTGCTTTGATGCATGTGAAATTGCATCTTTTTGTCCAAATCTTCACACTTGTATTCTTCCCAACGGCAATATGGCTATTTCTTCAGCTGTTATCTATCACACCTATAAATGAATGGCTTTTAAAAGGGTATGTTTTAACATCTAAAGGATGACATATTTACAGATGCAGTTCCAGTAATTTGTTTTCAGTAGTATTAGGTTGGGATTTGTTTGTTTGTTTTAAATAGTGATATGACTTTCTGTTTAGGTTAATGCTTTGAACTTTTTGTTGAGAAGGGAAAAAAACAGTACAGAAAAAATTATTATTTCAAAATCTTATGTATCCAAAGACTTGGCAGCTAATTTTATATATAAGGATGTACTCAACAGATCATATCTCTGTCAAGTCTTCTATATTGAATTTGCTACAGCACAGTTCAAGGAATATGAAAGTGAGAAAAGTGGTGGTAGAAAAGAAATGTCTTAGATGCCTGTTTCTGCATAAAACAACATATTGAGCTTTATTCTGTACAGTCTGGTGAATATTGGTTTTACAGCACTTTACATTGTTTTTTCACACAGATTAGGCCAATGATAATTATTGTTCTTGAATGCATTGTTTTATCTTATGTTAAACCCCAAGAGACTGGGAAAAATAGAACATGATAGCATAGGTTTCTAAGTGAAAACATTAACAAAAACATTAAGAGCCATCAGATTATATTGCACTAAAGTGTTCAATCAAAGCATTTAAAACCATGTTGTTCTAATATTTTAACTGTCCTTAAGGAATAGAATCGATGCCCTGTTTATTTATTTAGTACATTTATAATCCGCCTTTCCTCAAGGCAAGTTACAATAGGAAAACAATTCATCAAAATACAAAGCAAAGTGTTTTACAAATGTCACACGAAGAAAATATATAATATTGACAACGAAGTTAAGTGCAAAATATATTTATGAGCAGTAGATGTGTTTAAGTCTTACTAAAATCAAGCGATTGATAAATAAAAAAGCAGCTGAAAAAAATAAAAGTGTTTGCTTCAGCAAATTTTCTCCTGGAGAATACTGTTAAACAGGGGAAGAAGCACACTTGATACAGAAGGGATTTAAGAGTTTGAATTTAGCCACTGAAAAGGCTTTCTTGTGTTTCTGCCTAATGTATCACTAACACTGGCAGGAGGACATTACAAGAGGATCCTTCACTTCAGATCTTGATGCCCAAGTGAGTGCATAATGCAGCAGGTAGTCCTTCAGTGCCCTGGTCTAAAAATCAAAGCCATCACTTTGGATTGGGCTTGGAATCCAACTGGTAAGGAAGAGAGTTTTTTAAAAACAAGGGAACCATTTGCCTTAGTAATCTGCTCTAGTAAGTAGACTAGCCCCAGTGTTTTGGTCCTAGTACTATTTCTGTACGCTCTTCAAAGGCAGCCTCAAGTAGAATGTGTTGCAAGATTCTAGCTGAGAATTAGCTAGAACATATCTCACCATCACAAAATAGTGTAACACACGCAAACACGCACGCAAGTTCAGTTTTATCTACAGATTGTCTTGAGGGCTGAAAAGGCAGGATGAAACTCAGGAAGCTGTCTTATACCAGGTGTTTGTCATGTTTTGTTTATTTTCACTGTTAACAATTCTGCAAGATCCTGGGCAAGCATGTTTCCAGTAGTCACCTGCTACCTTATTCTTCCATTTTAGCATTAGCAGGGATGGATCTTGGGACCTTTTGCATGCCAAGCACGTGCTCTTCCTTCCCTAAATCTCCTCTGACTTCAGCACTGTGGTTAATTTCTAAACCAGGAAACTCCTGGGCTTTTTTTTGTGCACTAGCACATCCCTAGAGGAAGACATGACCTCTTATCTCAAATACATGAGGTGTGTTCTCTGAGGTTCTCTGTTATTTGCAGATAACAAGTCCTGGAGGGAACAGTAGCCTCCCACGAATCTTATTTTGTATCATTTTTTTTCAAATAACTTCTTGAGTGAATCTATATCACTGTAAATCCATTTGCAACATCTATTTGGAAAGTAGAGGAAGAAAAGTTCCTGAAACTTTCAGAAAACCAACTCACCTTCCCTAACTCTCAAAGTCCTTATAACCCACCACTTCTAGCAAATGTTCATATTAAGGTTTATCTACCCTGTTTCCACGAAAATAAGACTTAACCTGACAATAAGCCCTAGTATGATTTTTCAGGATGCTCGTAATATAAGCCCTACCCCAAATATAAGCCCCAGTTAAGTGAAACCCTGCCCTCCACCATTGTGCAGCAACCAGAAGAAGATGACATGACTGTAAAATAAAACATCCCCTGAAAAAAATCCCTACTGTGGAGTTTTTTTTGAGCAAAAATTAATATAAGACCCTATCTTATTTTCAGAGAAACATGGTTATATCTTCATATAGGTTCAAAATACGTATACTCGTAAAGCGAATAAACATGAATTCATGAGGCAATAGATATTCCTGGAAGCTGGAATTTCAGCAAACAATAATAGATTGCACCATCAGTGGATATCTTGTTGCTTCCACCTTTATTGTAACGATGGTGTTGAGAATTCTTGTGGGGTTTATGGGTCACTCACTGTGGTGGACATCATTTCAGGAATGAAGCTGATGAAGTGGAAAAGATTTTAGTAGACTACAGCATCAAGTAAGAGAGCATTCTGGGAAGCTGGATCTCAGTTTGATTATAGTTCTGGACTTCAGTTTTAACAATCCACCTCCTGTCTTCTTCCTTTTTCCTTTAGTATCATATCTAGGAAATCGTACACAGGGATATAATTTAAAACAAATCTTGTGAAGTGGTTACACTTTTAAGGTCCTGATTATGTAGCAAAACTACAAAAAAACGAAAGACAAGACTATTTGCTTGGGAATGAACAGAGGCTTGACCCAACCTAATTTTATAAGTTCAGTCCTTTTACGCCACTACTCTATTTTTCATAATCAAGAAAGGATCTTGGAACATTTTCTGAATTCAATAGATTGGTAGGTCATGCCTTAGAGCAATCCACTGCCACACACTCCATTAACATGAATAAACTTTGAACAGTTAAACTGTTTAGGGAATTGTAGCTTCAGCCTCAAGAGGCTGACAGCGAATATCATAAGACTCCAATTGATAGAGGAAAAACCAGGGTTTAAAACTCTAAAGACTTTTTCTCTATTCTTTTGCACTGGTTAGTTTGTGTGATGAGCTTATGGATCTGCAGATGTATGAAATGAATAATGCACACATCTGGTTTACCATAGGCTGTAGGTGTTTGCAGTCTGATTTATTAAAGGGTTATGTGATCTTTGTTTAAGAAAATCCTTGTTTATTTACAGAGATAAAGAAGTGGCTGATTTAAAGTTTCCACCATCTCAGTTCACGGCCCTATATTATAGATGAAGGTTTTCCACAATTCACAGCACAATTCAGGCTACTCCCTTAATAGGCCATAGCATGTGAATATTTCTGGGCACACAGATTCCTTGTCCTGTGAATAAATAATTCCTTTGGTATTGAGCCCAGAAAGATTTTCTAGATCTGGAATCACTGCTCCATAATTTCAAAAAATAAGTGTAAGTGAATGTAGATGTCTCCCCTAGATTTTGACATCGTTTTCTAGTCACTTGTATTCATGGTCTCTTAAGTAAGTAACCCTACCTGTTCTCATTGGATTGTGTAATGATTAACTGGAATAAATACTCCATTTGTATTTGTGTTTTTCCCTTTCTCTGCTTTAGTTTGCAGACAGTTGGGTGCATGCCACCTCCTGTGTCTTCAGCAGTGATTTTAACCAAAGCTGTTGGAGGGAATGAGGTGAGAATTTTGCATTTTGTTTTCCTGTTAACTGCTTTTTTAGAAAATATTTTATGCAAAGGATTTTGATTAACAAAATATGTAGCAATATTAATTGAAGTTTGTTTATTTAAAACATTCATATGCCATTTTTCTCCTAAAAGGATCCCAGGGCAGCATTGCAATAACATCGTCATAAACTTTATTCAAACCATTGCTCATGGAAAACAATGAAAAAAAACAACAACTTGGCACCCTGTTAATGGTTGTCTGCAAATATAAAACGTTTTAAATTTGCATTATAAATACTTTTTTAAAAAGTGTTTCATTTGTGTTTTATTACTGCTGGCCACCGTGAGTGCCATTTTGTGGCAGTAAGGCAAATATGTGTTTAATAAATACAGTAAATCAAAACACATTTTAGTTTAAGCATTTATTCCAGAGCAGGGCAGCGATCCCCTTCAACTTGATAGAGGAAATTGATCAACTACTAAATTCATGTTCCAGAGTTTTAACTTTGGTAAAAATAGATCTAGTTTTTCTCAGAGTGGGTGCCATGGCCCCTCTAACCCTGCAGAAGCAAATGTTAATTCTCAGTTATCTGAATATACAGTACTGGGTATTTTGAGAGTCAGAATTTCACTCTGTATGAAACTACTTCTACGATAGCGACCACTTATTTCCCTGTGAAGCAAAAACAGGCACGTGATGACCTGTGAAAACAGTCACCGACTCCATAGTTTCTCATTTCCTCCTCCTATTTCTTTATAAAAAGAAATATTTTGGAGCCTGTGGCTATTTGAAGACAACAACATTTCGGACATAAAGTTCTCATTGCCTTCAGTGTGCCAGGAATCAGTGTTTTCCTCCCTCACCTTGCAGTGGGATGATACTCTTCTGCATGAATCAAGTATAGTTACCAAACTACAGTTGCTGGATTAATGCTAGAAAAGCAGTTTTTGAAAGTGGCTGCTGTACAAAATCCACATGAGAGCAATAACATCTTTGAGCAAACCAACTTACCACAAAGTAGTAAGAAGCCTTAAAGTTCTTCAGAACTTACAGGCACTGTGAGTGATGTTAATTCGCTTCTTCAAAACAAGTCCAATTTATGAATGTGGGATATTGTGCTTCTGTATTCAAAATGCCAGGAAGTGTCCTGGTATTGCTGCACAATCTCATGCTTGTGTTGCCAGCAGAAAAAAAAGATGCCAAGCTTTACATAGCAAAGAGCAGCCTGAATATCAAAAATACCAATGGCAGCTGTCAAAATGGTCAACGTAATACTCTCTTGTGCTCACTAACATTCACAGAATGATACCAAGCAAGGGAAAATCCCAGACACTGGCTCCTTTAACTGCTTCTTACTTAAAAGCAAAGCAATTGTTATGGCTGTTTTTCAACAACTTTGAATGATAAGAGGCTTCTAATCCAAGCAGGTGCTATTGTTTTTTTCCTTGTTGATGTGTTTTTAATTGCTTTTTGAAGTTTTCAAATTCATCTATCTCATGGTTTTAATTATATTTCTCCTACTATATTTCATTTTTGGTCCCCTCGAGTCCCATTTTTGGGGAGAAATCTGAGGCATGGCTCTAGTAAATAACTAATGTTTATAGCACAAGTATACTGAAATAGCAGCAAAAGGGACATGATGTTGTGACCATTATAGTATATATTATGAAGTGTGAGCACATCATTTACCGCCTTCTTGTGCTTTAGTCTTGGTAGGCTGAGAACGAATGGAGAAAGATAAATGCCTTTGAAGTGGAAGTAATGGTTAGATATATTTTATTTGTTTTTGTGTGTGTTTGGCTCCCAGAAGAATTGAATGACATTTTAAGAATTTTGGGAAAGTCTGTCTGAGGGCAGATCGTTGGCCGAGGGTGCTGAACTTTCAGAAAGGATGTACAACAAAAACGATGCAGAAAAAAACAAGCAGAAAATGTCAAAAAATAACTTGATGTGTCAGTAAAAGGCCAGAACCTTGGAAAGCTTGGTGAGAAGTGATTTATAATCAAATATTGTTTTTGAGTCATCCCTGTCTTTGTGTGAAAGCCTTGGGAGCATAAATAGGGGGGGAAACAGCAGGTCAAGAAAGGCAGGAATGGAGAATTCTCCAACCCTTGCAGAAACATATTTCAGGTATGTTTGTGTATGAGACTGGGGAATTGAAAATAACATCCTCCCCACCCCCAGTCAATGTACGTTATCAAGGAGACTGCCATCTGAGACAACCATGCAGAAACCAAAGCTTACCTTTTAGTGCTAGAATTTAACAGACTGAATGAAACTGCTTGTTTCATTGAGTCTGAAGTGGTAGGAAGGTAAGGGGACTAGGGTGGGCCACTTGTCCTTCAAGGCCCTTCACCAGTCACCCAGGTCACCCCTTTCCTTCAGGGAGGGGGTAACGTGCTGATACTTTGTAGATCCTTCTCTATTAATGGGATATGGGATTTCGTTTTAACAAAAATTAAAACAAATCCCCCTATTTGTGGCTCTTATATTCATGGTTCAGTGTACAACATTTGCATTTGTGTTAAAATCTTTTGTATGAATTAGTGTTCAGCTGAAATATGTTACTTAGTATAAAGATTATTATATTTTCAAATCTAGTGATGCCTCCAAATATAAAACCTTTTTCACAAAAGGAATCTCAGTAATTCCCATGAGGGGAGGGAAATTATTGCATGTGGTGAACTCTTAAGTCATAGACCAAGGTCATGGCAGCAGGAGTCTTATTTGAAAAAGGTTCTCTCTCTGCTTGGAAAGCAAATGAAACCTCTCATCATTTAACTTTAAAATTATAGCTTTAAGAGAATTTTCACTACAGCTGAAAGATCAGGTTCATAGAGAACGTAATAGACTTAGAAGTCATTTCTCAGATGTAAAAATGGAACAAGAAACATGACTGTTTCTTCCTCTCCTTTGCGTTCTTGATGGAAAATAAAAGAGTTCATAAAGACCAGTCTTTATATAAATTATTGTTGAATAATATTAAAGGATTCACAGGATAGAAAGGATTTGTTTCACTAATCCTTCAATGGTTTTCTTATCTATTTGAAGTTATTTTAGGGGAGCTTTGCATTTTTATATATTTAACCTCTAGTTTAAAATTATTTTATGAATTTTATTTTTTTTTAAAAATCAATGTTTTTTATTTACTCACATTTAAAGTTCTTAATCATGTTAATAACATATTGTTATTAATAATGCAAATAATGAGTGATTTATTATTAATATTATTTAGTTTTTAATATCCCACTTTTCCTGCAAAATGCTCAGGGCAGGGTATATGTTGCCTTCCTCCCCCCCCCCCAACAGTAAGCCTGTGAAGTATGAGAGAATGACTGACCCAAGGTCACTGAGTGAGAAAATTGAGTTGAGATTTGAATTCAGGTCTCCACAGTACTAATTTAAAATTCAAATTTTTATTTTGACCCCCGCCCCGCACCTTGTGATCTTGTTTTGATGCCATTGTTTTTGTGGATCACATCTAAGTTGGTAATTATTTTTAAAATGCTTGCTACTGTTTCCTGAAAAGAAAATAATTCATGCTGCATGGTTTTAAATTTTGAATTAATCCATCCTATTGTGGAAGATACTTCAAAGATGCTTGGTTTACAAAGAAAAAAATTCATATAGTCCGGGTGCACATGCTTATTGAAGTATTCCATAGCCATTGCCCAAACTCCATGTCAGTTCTTCAGGAAATCAATGAGTATCTTAGAGGTAAATGAGGCTTATTTCTTGGAGAGTCTTACCATAGAAATTGTTGGTTGGTTGCTTTAATTTTTACACCATCCATCTGGCTGAGTTTGGTCAGTTTACAGTACACACACACACACACACACACACACACACACACGAGGCAGTAACTGAAAGCACAGAAATACATCAAAATGAAATATTCAGAACATTTAAAACCTAAGATGGCGGACATAGTCACATGGGCTAGTCAGCTGAGTTCATAGGTATGACATTTCCAAATACATTCCTAAGTACTCAGTTTTTTAAATGACCTTTTAAATTTCACCAGTGAAGGGGCCAAACCAATTGCAGGGGGGAGGTCATTCCACATCCCAGGAGCAATTACCGAGAAGGCCCGTTTTCTTGTCTTCTCCCTCTAAGCCTTTTTCAGGGTTAGCTTGAGATGTACTTGCAGAATGGGCAGATCTTGTTGGAAGTAGGCATTCTGCCAGATAGTGAGGTCCCAAACAGTTCAGGACTTTATAGGTTAAAAACATCACCTTGAAGCTGGCACAGAAATGGACAGCTAACCAGTGTAAAGCAGCCAGAGTTGGGAAGATGATACTTATTCACTCCACTCAGTAGTCTGGCAGCCATGTTTTGGACCTCTTGGTGTTTTTGTGACAGCCTGATAGGTAGCCCCATGTAGAGAGTGTTGCAGTAGTCTAATCTTGAGATTACCAGTGCATGGACCAATGTAGTCAAGGGTTATGGCAGTCTGCCTGAGATGGACATGGGCAGACTGGACCACAGATGCTTTCTGAGTGTCCATAGACAGTGTTGGGTCCAGTAGGACACCCAGACTACCAACATCATCCTTTGCAGAGAAAGTGACAGCCCCAAAGAAAAGTGAGGCACCCAATCCACAGACAGGCAGGGCACCCAGCCGAAGGACCTCCATCTTGTCCGGATTCAGCCTCAATCTGTTGGCCCTCATTCACTCCAGTACTACAGTCAGGCAGTGCTCAAGGGATGGGGCAGCATCCACTGCAGAAGGGTGGAAGGAGAGATAGAGCTGCATGTCATCAGCATATTGGTGATACGCCACTCCAAATCACCAGATGACCTCCCCCAGTGGCCTCATATAGATACTAAACAGTAATGGGGAGATAATTGATCCCTGAGGGACTCCACAATGAAGAGTTTAAGGGGTGGAGACCAGTTCCCTATGTGGCACTCTCTGGGGACAGTCCTCCAGGGAGGACTGGAGCTAGGACAAAGCCAGACCACCAATCCCCAGTCCAGAGAGCTTCCCCAGAAGGATAACATGGTTG